AGGGCACTAAAAATACCAATGAAATTACAATGATACTATCACGTGCTCCCAATCTAGACTGGACAATTGAGTATAAATGTTCAACAATAGGAACAAATAAGGAAGATTCTGCTCCTGACCTGGCGACGGAAATAGCAGCTGCAGAAAATGCTTTGGACACCAGCAGGCTGGAAAAGAAGGGGGAAAAGGAAGTACAGTGGTGCCTCGCTTAGTGATGCTAATCTGTGCAGAAATAATCGCTGCTAAGCGATAACATCGCTAAGCGAAAATAAAAAGCCCGTAGAAACGCATTAAAACGCGATTAATGTGTTCCTGTGGGCTAAAAACTCACCTTTAAGCGAAGATCCTCCATAGCGCTGCCATTTTCGGTGCCTCTAAAGCAAGATATCCGTGCCTGAAAACAGCGGGTGGCCATTTTGTTTACCCAGCGGCCATTTTGAAACCGCCAATCAGCTGGCTGAAAATGGGGGCTTTGCAATGACAGCTTCCCTGCGATCATCATAAAGCGAATTTCCCCCATAGGGACCATCGCAAAGCGATCGCTTTTGCGATGGCAAAAAGTCCATCGCAAAGCGATTTCGTCGCTATACGGAGCAATCGCTATGCGAGGCACCACTATATTTATGTAATATTGTTTTTTATCAACTGAATATTCAAAAATCTAACTACAGGATTCAATATGTTTCAAGAATATAACAATGAAAACTTGAAGAAATTTTTCAATGTTACAAAACTTAACATGGTGTTTCAAAATTGAATAATAAGAACTTAATGAAAGCATTACTTAGATTAGGCATCCTTCAGTCTCGAGAGACTATGGTGACGTGCTCTGTATGGAGGACTTGGAACAGCATCTAGTGTGGCTGAGAAGGCCAATTTGAGAGTGACAGTCCCTTCCACATCAAAGACAAATACAATCTGTCCCCTGCCCAGCTTCCTGATTTTGCTGGTTTCAGGACTGCCTCTTTGCGTCGGCCTGTCTCTTCAAATTGGAAGAGGCCATGATGCACCACCTGCCTCCAGGCTGAACACTCAGATTTGAGGGTTTCCCATCTGTCGAGGTCCATTCCTAAGGCCTTCAGATCCCACTTGCAGATCTCCTTGTATTGCAGCTGTGGTCTCCTTCTGGGGCGATTTCCCTCCACTAATTCTCCATGCAGGAGATCTTTTTGAATCAGACCATCAGCCATTCTCACAACATGCCCAAGCCAACGTAGCCATAGATATATTACTGTTTCAGTAATATATACATGCTAAAAATTCCAGCTCGATCTAGGACTACTCTATTTGGAACTTTGTCTTGCCAGGTGATACCAAAAATGTGTCAGAGACAACACATATGGTATGTGTTCAGCTTCCTCTCCTGCGGTGCACAAAGGGTCCAGGACTCACTGCAGTACAGGCGTGTACTCAGGACACAGGCTCTATAGACCTGGATCTTGGTATATGCCCTCAGCTTCTTATTGAGCCATACACTCTTTGTGAGTCTAGAGAACATGGTATCTGCTTTGCTAGGGAGATAGTGTCAGAGATCATCGAGCCAAGGTACACAAAGTCATGAACAATTTCCAATTCTTGCATGGAGATGGTGATAGAGGGAGGTGAGTCCACGCCCTGGCCCATGACTTGTGTTTTTTCCAGGCTGATTGGTAGTCCAAAGTCTTGGCAGGCCTTGCCAAAACGATCCATGCATTACACAAAGCATTACACATACTTAACAAAAGTATTACAAAAGTATAATAACTAAGTTAGAAAAAAGAACTCTCAATTAACCCATATTTTACATCAGTACACTTCTATAGTATTGCAAAAATTACTTCCCTGCCTCACAGCACAGTCTCCTCCCCCTGCAAGCACTCTTCTCCCGTCCTTTGCTCCTTGCTCTTTTCTCCTTGCCCAGGGTCTCTTCTCTAGCTGTTATTCATACCCTTACTAATGTTTATCTCCCCCTCCAATTATCACCAACATCAATTTTACTAGGTTGGTAATGCACATGCCTGTATAAACGGCCACAATATTTTGAATAGAAATCTCTATTGCTTTTACTAGGGTGGCAAAGTACCAGCCAGGCTGGCAAGTTGCCAATGTAGCAGATTGTAGTCTTTATTTTCAATAACTCAGCCTTACATCTGCAGGATAAACAAGATGCACTGGGTGTAAATCACCTTAGGAGTAAGCTAGGAGTGCAGTGGTTTGTGATGTTAGCAACCACGACCTACTCCAGCTGGGAACCCTTCTTCAACAGACATCTAAACACAGCAATCTCTGGTCCGAATAATCTTTGACATTCTCCCTTTCTGTCCCAAACCCCTCAAGCTCTGCAAAGCCCAACTGAATCAACCGGCTCACTAGTTTCAAAAGCTTCCTTGTTTTAATACAGTGTTTAATAAATTAGGAAGCCATTGTACAAACTCAACACAGACTGATTTAAGATCAAGAAAGGTGTGTGGCAAGGTTGCATCCTGTCACCTTTCTCATTCAACTTGTACACTGAAATGACAATCAGAAAGCTAGAGTTAGAAGAATCAAAAATCAGGCTAAAAATTGGTGGAAGAGACATCAGTAACCTTCGATGTGTGGATGATACAATCCTCTCAGAAACCCAGGAAGGTCTAAAGTCCCTGATCATGAAACTTAAAGAAAAAAGTCTGAAAATTGGCCTCTTTTTGAATATTAAAAAAGACCAAACTCATGACAACTGCAAAGAATCAAAACAGTAATGGGTGGAGAAGAGATTCAATGCGTGGAAGAATTCATCTTTTTAGGTTCACTGAGCAATCAAATGGCAATTGCAGCCAAGAAATAAAATGTCAAATCATGCGAAATCACACAGGAATGATGATTATGAATCAAATATGGAAAAGCAATGATGGTCAGCTTGATGACCAACTGGAGATTAATTTGCACCATCGGGCTCCCCATAACTACATATC